ACTGCCCTTTCCATAGCTTAAGGCAATGAACCAAAACGACATCGTTTGGTAATTTCTCCATTTTTGTATTTCGGTCCTAGTTTTAGTGTAAATTCCATTAAAAGCACCAAAGTTTATTAGTGTACACAAAAGCGTCCTCCTAAAGCTGGAAATGTTAGAAAAAAAAACTATATTACGATAAATATGTTTATATGATTTCGTTATTCATCTCACATACCCAAAACATTGAAAGAGTTGCTTCAATTTATTCAATCAATAATTGAAAAAAAAAATCTTACTAAAATTGGTTTTTTTTAATTCTTATTAGTAATACAAATGATGAAACTCCCATAGGATGCATTTATCTTAATTCCTTCACTTTAACTAGAGCAAATTGCTTCTGCTAAGAACATTTAAAAGTAACTTGAATCATAACAAATTGTTCAAAGTATACAGATGATTATTCGAACGAGATCACTGATCAGCTAATAACTATATTCTCAAAAAGTCATCCGATTTAATTTTGTAATAAAAGTAGTTTAACAAATGATAATTATCTCATAAATTCACTTAACTTTATTTTGTAACAGAAAAATTACTTAACTATTGTCGTTTCACAAGTATATTGAAATTGGAGTATAATAAAATTAAATTTCTTTATAAGGACATAAAAAGTTGTGTTACAATTTATTTCAAAGTTAGCACCACGGAGCACACTAGCAAGCAGCCAATATGTCCTATGACCAATTGCTACAACACTTGTGCTACTCACTATTTTTTTCGTAAACAAAATTCAACAAACTGTATAATAAGAAACAACATATAGTAGTAGTATAGTAACATTGGTAAATGAACAGTTTCTAGACTCTAGTAGTACTATTTTTTTCAAATTCCCAACTGACTCTGCACTTCCAAAATAGTCTTAGCTGAATTCCTAAGCTGTTCAATTTCTTCATCAGTAAGATGCACATTCGTCACGCCCAAAACTCCACTTCTACCAAGCTGTGCAGGCAAGCTCAAGAACACATCGCCACCATCAATGCCATAGAACCCTTTTGCAAGAACCGAAACAGGGTGAATCCTTCTTTGATCGCGAAGGATTGTTCGAGCCAAGTTAGCAACAGAGTAGCCAATTGCCCATGATGTGTAACCTTTCAGACTAATCACTTCATATGCACTGTGCACAACTTCTTGGTGGATTTTTTCCAGCGTCTCTTTTTCCAAAGCAATTTGTTGCCTCTCAAGGAAACTGAGGACTGGTACACCTCCTACACTAATGCCTGACCAAAGTGCCACTGAGCTATCACCATGCTCTCCAACAATGTATGCCTACAAATATATAAATATATCACACAAGTATACTACTTTCACATAAACAATACACACAGAACTTAGGGTATTAATCGGATGTTAAATTCGATTCAAATACTTTGTAAATTTCTAATTAGATAGTATTTATTATTAATAGTATTTTAAATTCAACGGAAAAACAAATTTTAATTACTATATTAGATATGTTGTTGTTATAATGTGTTAGCTTATTTCTATCTATCGAACTCGAAAAATAGGAGTTTTTCTCCCTTCATGTACTTGGGAAATAGAATTCCTTCCATTTCAATGTAAGTGTCTTGTTTACTCCCTCACTCCCTCCATCCAAAAATGTGTCTCTTTACTAAAATCGGATATCTTTTATTTACTCTAATTTTCTTGATAGACGTGAAACAAGTTAAGATGACACTTATTTTGAGACAAATAAAGTATCTTGTTAATTAATCCATCTATTTGAATACAAAAAAAATAAAAAAAAAATGAGGTCATTCTTTTCTAATCTGAGAGAGTATATATTCAAACATTTCAATTTGTAGTACTTTTGTATAATTTTAATATTTATTTTAAAATATTAAATTGATCCAATCTAATCTAATTTATTTATCAAAATTAGGAAAATTAACTCTAAAAAAGCATCTTCTTATATTATTTTCATATAGGAATGTCCCTTTTTATATTTACAGTAATTTTTCACTTCCAACATTGTATGACATATTGAAGACACAATATTCAATAGACATTTAGACGCATTATATTACATTTTTAGTTTAAAAATACCAAATTCAAAAGTCTTTTTAGTTTCTTAATGTGAAAACAAAAATAGAAATTTAAATTAAATAGTTGGAGAATGAAGCACTAACCTGGACATCTTGGGCATTAACATCAAGATGATCCGCAATCAAAAACCGAAATCTAGAAGAATCCAAATTCGTTCCCGACCCGATAACCCGATTCGCCGGAAACCCAGACAATTTCCAAGCAACATACGTCAGCACATCCACCGGATTCGAAACTACTAGAAGCGTAGTCTCCGGCGAATACTTCACCAACGGCGGAATAATACTCCTAAACAGAGCCATATTTCTCTGCAACAAATTCAACCTACTCTCCCCCGGATTCTGTCGGGCACCTGCAGTTACAATACAAAGATCCGACCCGGCAGTAACCGAGTAATCAATCGATGCGTGGATCTTCGTACGCGGCAGAAACGCTGCCGCGTGCTGAAGATCCAGCATTTCTCCTCGGAGCTTGTCGGATTTTGCGTCGACGAGTGCAAGCTCGTCGACTAGGTCTTGTGTTAGGATTGTTTGTGCAATTGCCATACCGACGTTTCCGACGCCGATGACGGAGATTTTGGTGTGGCGTTTTGTGGGTGAAGGAGGGGCAGCATTGGAAATTGACTTGAAGAAAGCTTGGGTTAAGTCTAGACCACCAGGACCGAGTGATGAAGATGAACTACTGTTTTGCATGATTAATTAGATTTGCTTGTGTAACAAGAAAAGATTTGTTTTGTTCTGTGATAGCAGAGAAATTAAGCTTGTAATTGTAGTTTAGTGGTTAATGTTGAAGGGATTTATATAGAGAAAAAAAAAATAGTTTGAAGATGAAGCAAAGGGGGACAAAATGATGATGAAAAGTTGGTACTGTATAGGATTGTTTTCAACGGTCAAGCTTCCGAGAAGCATTGGAAAAGTAAAAAAAAAAAAAAAAATACTCCATCATTCCATGTTTGAAACTTGGCAATAAGGTTAATGATATTCACCGTTTGTTCACTTTTATTTGTTACGAATTTAATAACATATTATATTTTATTTGAATAGTTATTACATATTATTTCATTAGGTATTGTCTTGTATTATTTTTTAATGCGGTATATATATATTATGGATCATGTCTTTGTTTGTTGTTATAATTTGATGATAAATTCAGAAGAAAATAATGTACGAAATAAAATCACAGAAAATAGTGTAAATGATAAAATACTTAAATAACAAATAAAGATAAAATGAAAAAAAAAATTAAAGTAATGATATAATCACATTGAATTGATCGTTACATAAAATGATTTTTTTTGTTATTATCTAGTAATAAATTTAAATAATATGGCAAGTAACATTCAAAATAACATTGCATTTAAAATAACAAGATAATATATCAGATAACAACCATTCAAATAAGATGTTAAGAAAATAATAATTGATATAATTATTTTAATTTTAGATCTTAAAAAATAGCTTCTAAACTGAAGAATATGGAAAAAAATATTTTTAATATTATTAATAAAATAAATAAATTTTTATTTTTAAATAGTGAACAAATAAAGACAGACGAGCTTAAGATTTTTAATAATGTCCCACACTTCCTAAAAGTTGATGTAAGTCGAGTATCTAGAAAAGTAAGATTATAAGTCGGTGATTGACATTAATGTTTGATTTCTTGCTACCCAATCAAGAAAAATTAATCACGTCAAATATGAATAAACGAGGCAAAATTAATGTTTTCTCAAAGGAATACTAGATATACTAAAGTGTGGAGAAAATCAAATAGATAGGTGGCGTACAATATTAAAAGTAAGATTACTTATGTAATTTCCTTTATAAACACGGTTTATTAACACGTCTTTTTAGTAAAATGTTGCTTTGTACCGTAACATAATAGAATAAGTAGATTTTGCCCACTGATTAATTAAAACTAGGCCATTGTTTCATCAGCATTGTTTCTGCCAGTGGTATTTGTAAAAAATTAATTCCATGGTTTATCAAAAAGCCTAAAGCCTAGGGCCTTTTCTTTTATTTGTTTTTAAACTCATCGTGAATCGCGTTTGTTTTCATTATATTCTTCTAGCTTTAAACATGTATTAGTATTAATTAATTAGTGAAACTCCATGAAGAAGCCATCAACTGCTTGGTTGGCATGAACAATTGAAACTACCATAAGAGGAAGAGCGCATGGTGGTTTGAGTTATACCTGTGTTCGTTAACTTTAAAAAAAATTTATATATTTAATTTAACGATAATGCTACATTAAAACCTTCCCTTATGATACATACTACAAAATTATAGACTTTAGTTGAAGACCTCATCATAGTTAGGGGCGTACCCACCCTTGACTATCGAGTAACACATCTTTGTCAGAAATTATATTATACGTAGTGATCAACTTTTGATTTGGTATATATATATATATATATATATTGATACATACAAGTTAAATTTTTAGTATAATAGTTAAAATTAGGAATACTACTCATAATTATACTTTTTGCTAAAATGAGAATTTTCTTTTTACTTATTATTATTTTAAATGATAAGATATTATCGACAACAAATTAATATTTGGTTAATTTGTTACATAAAGGGAGAAGAAAATTGCAAGGAATTAAATAATTACACAATGCCTTAGGTATTAAGCTGACTACTATATTTACCGGAGTAATAAATTGATCTGAACAATTGAGCAATAAATCAAATGCCTAAAATGATTAGCTATATGAAATTATTACGTTAGAGTTAATTCACATAAAGTGCTTACATAATGTAATTTAATATAATATAATATATGATTTAATTCAATACACAGTTAAAAATTTTAATTATTAAGAATTAACCTATCATTAATCTATCATCTCCTTTCATAAGGCGTTGAACTAATTCTTCAATAAAACATAAATAATATAAATTTGAATTAGTTTTATTACGAAAAAAAAAACAAAAAAACTCCTAGCAAGTAAAAAATGACAATGGACTAATTTCGAAATAAATTATACTTGATGGACCAAAACTACATTTTGCATAAACAGAGGAACATTTGCTTTTGAAAATCAGACTGTTGAAGTGGACCATGGACTCGAACTTCGTCGTTTCTCAAGCTTCACCGGGGTCCGAAGGCCGAAGCTCGCCGTGACGATGTCAATGCCGCATCCATTCACCATATCTGCATAAGCATCGTCTGGTACCTCCTTGTTTCGCACTTCATATGTTATTTTATCGGATTATTAACTTGTAATTGTATCTTCGATTTCAAATTAGTTAATCTGAAATTGCACAATTTAGGTGCGCTTGATGTAATCTTGTCTTTTCCAATGTACTGAATAAGCAAAAGAAGGTTGGTTGCTTGCATTTTAGTATTCAGTAGTGGAGATTACTTTGTCAAAACTATTTGCAGTTAATGTGATGTTGGAATGGGACTTATCACAACAACATCAAATACTGGATTGAGGAAATACGAGACTATAATTAAAGGAAAATTGGCGAGATATTGATTGCATTTTGTAGTAGTTGTATATTTGCAGGATGCTATCATCACTTATGCTTGACCTGTTTAGTGTAGATAAATAACATGATTTGGAAGCAGATTTTTTTGTTAGGAGTACAAAAACCTATATAACAGGACTTGAGCTTTAAATTGTATTTCATTTCTTTTTAGAGGAAAAAGTGCATTCATATTCTTTGCAATAAGTATGGCCAATCCGAACTCCAACTTTAAAAACTCTAATAAAGTGAAAAATATCTGATTTTCATGGCCAAATACCCACTTAGAGGAAGCTTATCTCGATTGGCAGGTCCAGCCATAGGTGGATCATCTCTCTACAGTTTACTTATGTTTCTGCGTGCACCAGAACAGGAAGAACCAGATGTCCATCCTAGCATACCAAGGGTGTTAAGTGTCCCATATTGGTTGAGGGTATGGGTTGTTGTCTTCTTATATAATGTTAAGTGATCCTCATCCACGAGCTAACTTGTTAGATTTACCACATTGGTTAAAGGAATAAATAGTTATATGATCTCGGCCAATCCTCATCTCATGAGCTCATTTTTAAGATTGAATTCGGTTCAAGGTCCATTTCCTTCACAATTTTAAAAGATAGATATTTCCTGGACTTTGTTAGCTCCATGAATTGTGTAGACTAACTTAAATTCTACTCCTAAAGCTTACTGGTTTTTGTTTTTGCTCCAAAAGCACTCAAGCTTTCGTTTTGTAATATGGCACCATCCAGTTACCTTTTGTCAATAAAAAACTTCTTCATAAAAAAAAGGGTTAGTAATACAAAAACTTAAATACAGGCGTAAAATTTGCATTGACTAAAGCACTTAGGCTAGTATTTCAACCTACGACATGTCCTTGTTCAATTTTCATCCTTTAATGGCTAAGTAACTTCACTATATGCAGTTTCAATTCCCTATAGGGCATGAGAGAGGGAGGAAATAATTTATTCCTGAACTGGAGTTGGTCACTGATCTGGTCAAGAATGGGATTGAAATTTGAATCGGCGTTCTTTTTAGAGTAGAAGATTTGAGAGTTCTCGGGCTCTCCTAGGAAAGTGATCATGGAGGTTTGCTGTTGAAGAGGACAGGTTGTTGTGGGAAGTTATCAAATCATGGACTGTTACTAGGGGTTGGATGAGAAAACAGATTACTATTCCTTATGGTACAGCCATATGTAGAGGGTTATGAAGGGACGGGGAAACTGTTTCTAGGGGTTGGATGAGAAAACAGATTGCGTGGATGGCCTGAAAAAATCTCATACTGGAATTTCTTCCTTCTTTACATGAATGGTTTACTTCAGCTCTAGATTCTCTCTAAGCAACTCCAAAGTAATTCCTTGAGAGTGGCAATGAATGTGTTAACTACTTTTGGCCTTTGGATTCGGTACCTTACTAAAAACACGACAGTTAAAAAGCATATTTTTCTAAAGATGGACTTGTTTTATGCATTCTTTTTATCATTTTATGCCTTGTGATTGTTGACCTGTTCCAACCATGTCTTTAATGGGAGCAAAGAAATTTGGATGCTCTAAGTTTCTGAGGTCTGAAGTGTTCTGTGGGGTCGTCATTATATTTGAGCAGTTCATATAGAATGATTTTAGAAACTGAATACCTTATGCAGTGAGGCTGGATCCTGAGGAGATATCAGCAAAACTGACTGGTTATGAAAGAAAACACGACGCAGTCACATGTATTGGCATGAGGACCTACATACCGGTACTCTGTCTCTCTGTTTCTTCGCTGTAATTGTCATAATGTTTCTCAAGATTCTTCTGCTTACAGTTTCACGTATGAGTTGTTTCCCTGTCATTTTCAAACATTAGTTATTGAAATGTTGTGCAGCTTGTCAAAGTCATTACATTCTCTAATGGAGCTGCTGATAGTAGCTAATGCCATATTGGCTAGCTTCTGAGTTTCTTCTAATGAAAGCCAAGATTAGGTGAATAACACGGTTATGAAGGTTTTAACTTGACTAGAACACTTCTGTTGCAAATTATTGATTCCTCCTACATATTGTTGGTTAAAACACACAATATCTGTCTTTCTTGCCTCCTGCACTCATTTGCATCACATCAAGGTATATTATCTAGTGCAACCTTCTTGTCCATTGCTGTTTGCTGTAGCTTGAGCAAATTGGGCCCTGCGGTCTAGTTGCCAGGGTCAGATTCCTGTCACTCTCTTGCTTACACCAATTGCTAATAATATGTGATACATGTTGAGGGGTCCCCATTTTTCCACTTTTAGACGGAAAGTGGACTATTTGGTATGTGTTTTACTCTCCATCATTCTCTTCAATAAATGGACTCTATGCTATTCATTGTGCCAGCTGTGCTTCTGCTCACTGTTCCTAAAATCTGTATCTGTCAATGTTGTTGATCTAGATGTGCAGCCTGCCAGTTTTTCCCACTTTGTCATTACCTCACATTAGAGGCCACTTCAATTACCCTTTCGCCTACAATTAAATTGCATAGAAGAAGCTTTCCTTTTTGCAATTAGTAGGCAGCAAAGGGAAGGCCACCGCGACTTGTTCAACAACTAACGAATTATGTTTAGCAGAAAAAGCTATCCTTTAATGTAATAGGTGAAGAAATACTTAAAATTGATGATTCTCTTTGTGAATACATTTATTAAATTCTTCAGCCATAGACATTCACTGTTTAAAGCCAAACATCAATTTCTTACCGCTCAAACTTATCCTATATCTGAGTTTTATGTGACAACGGAAGTTCCTAACTATTATGGAAATAGTTGTGTACTACCATATAATTGTAATTCATTCTAATTTTACCAGGTGATTTAGGATGAAGCAATCACCAACCTCAAACCTGACTTCTTCTGGTTTGGAGTTGATGAGATTGATCTTAAACTGGGGATCAGAATTCCTCAATTTCATTAAAACATCCATTGTCAACTGTAGTAAAAAAAATCCCCATTTTAATGAAGTCGGACTCAATTAGGTAAAATCAGTACTGCTGTAGGCATTTTTGCTCCTTGAGACTGGCAAAATGCTTCTATTTGATTTTGCTTCGAAATTAGTTTACAGGCTGTTGACGTGATTGTGATTCGTCAATAGTTGGGTTCGTCCCACTTCCATTCTGATCTCTGGTTAAAAATAGAGGGATCCCAACCATCCTACGGCATCCTGGTGGTGGAATGAGCAACATAGTTACCACATCTCAATACTGATTGATTGCAAAAGGATCGAACTGCAGCTGCAAGCCCAATTGTCCTGCGCTCAGGTTCTTACATATAGAATTATTTTCGTATAATTTTAAACTGATTTTCCCCCTCCTCTTTTCTGTAACGCAATCGAGACCCAGTGCTTCTTCTATTTTTATTTAGGTGATAGCTTTAAACAATTTATCTTTATGTATGAATTTCCTTTAAAAAAAAGACCATTTTGAGATACAAAATAAATTTACTTAGGTACTATGACATTAAAGGTCAGGAAAATTGCAGAAAACAGAGATTGAAAAGAAATATATCGGTCATTTAGCAATCTGAAATTTCAGGAACTAATCCTTCCAATATTTTTTGAGACTCTCATCATTTACTGCCTTCAATTGGTTTGTATTATATTGGACGGATTGGGTTATGACCCGTTTATTTGACCCAATCTAACTTTGGATGGGTTGAGTCTTGATCCAATAATCAATTCTACTCAATCCGCCGATTTGCCACCTTTATAATATCTTAACCAGACTCAAGAACAAGAGCGACAAATATCAGATTTGTTTGCCTGCTTATGGCTGGGCACATAATAAATGACAAAAATAGATTTGGTTTCTTAGATAGAAAATACAAAGGACTTAAAAAAAAGAGACAAACAACAGAAACTAACACATAACTGTCTATATCATTAAAGAAGAAAACCAACCAACACATTCACAGCAGAGAGACCACTGCTACTTTTTTTCCTATATATTCATATGCACTCTTTTTTTTTCCTTTTTTTTTTTAAATATAAGGTACACTTGATAAAAACAAGACAGTAATATAAGGGACCATATACATCCACATCATGCCCTCAATAAACCTCAGCCATATGCATTAATGTAACACGTGACCTTATAATATATAACATTGATATTTTTTGCTACTTGTTTTTGCAATTTTTAGTCCTTTCTATTCGTACATACATGGAGTATGATCTCATCTATGATTCTCCTTCATTTGCCAAGACAATAATAATAATTTTAAGAAGAAAAAAAGAACGAAAATTAACAGGTCTCGTATACGTATACACATACGTATAAACGAGAAAATAAAATACATATAAGTATGATGGTTTTCATCTACAATATATTTTAGTGTTTCGTGTTGTGAATAGGTGGTTTTCTATGGGGTTGTGCATAATCCATAACTACTACGTCTTCCACCGGTTCCTTTTCAATGGAGTTCACTGCTTCTTCCTCGTGTTGTGTTGACGGTGGAGATTCTAGCATCAACCTAGATATCTGCATATATATAGCATTAGCACTTAACTTATATATATCGATAATGTTTTCGTAGAATCCATGCATTTTACATTTTAACCTCTTATAGCACGTAAAAGATATCTAACTTACATATAAAGTGAACATGCATAGAAATTGCATCGATATTGTCCTTTAAGTTGACGACAATATGCATGTCAAAAACAGTGAAACATGATATCGATAGTCGATAGAAAAATGAAATACAAATCTTGGACTCCACTTATTTTAACAGTAAAAAACAAGATTCTTGGGTCTCCAAAGAAGTTCTATTGTTTTTTTTATAATACTGTATATGACATAAATTAATTAAACACTAATTATATTGTGTGGAGATAGAGAGAGAGAAATTAGAGCTTTACCTTTACTTGAGCTCCCTCATGAAACGATATCTTGACCTTGTTTCCTGTTAGTCACAACACTTAATTCGTCATATAAGAAAACTAATTAACGTTGCAAAGAAGAAGAGAAAAAGTTGCATTCAGGAATTTAAAAGGAAGCAAAAAAATAAAAATCCCTCGATTTTTTTATCTTTTGTTCTTGAAAATATTATCACTCATAACATTGGAAAATATGACATAAATTCTAAAGTCACCAAACAATCTTGGTTAGGTGACTTGCAAAAGGAAGTAATACATATTATAAAATCTGAGTTTCTTTTCTTCTTATTTTTTTCATACATAGACTATGTTGTTAGATAAGACAATAACCTTATAGTTATTGAGATAAATTAAGTACATAAAACTAACTTAAGTTTTAAGATAAGATAGTCAGAATAATATCAGAGCAGGTAAGAGGTTTTACCGCATGTAAAAAAGAATTTTCATGTGCTTAAATCATCGAACCCACATATAAAAGGCGTCGTGAGGTATAATTAAATAAAAGTAAGTTATGAAAGGAACTGTACAAGCTATGACAATTAACATGTTTCAAAAATAACAGAAATTTTTAACGTGCCAAAAACTACCTTTATCTTCTTCATCGTCTAATTGCTTTCGTGCAACAATTGATCTCTTTTTCCACATAAGTTTTCCATCATCTTTTCCAATATCTTCAGACATAATTATTCTTCCTTCTGTTTTTGATATGTCACTAGTCAAAAATTTTACATCCTGCAAATAAACAAGGACAAGTTACATATTTGGTCGGTCAGTCAAAATAATTACACTCTCTAGTAAAAAAATACTAATATATATTGGCTGGAGAGTATTGCTATTATTTTGATGGACGGTTATACAGATCGAACAAGGAAAGAAATATTTGTGAGCAAACCTTGCTAGAGAGTAGTATTTTGTTTTCTTTGTCATCCATACTTGCTAGTGGTCTTGCACTACATGCATGAAGAGAAATACAAATACAAACCAAAAGATAAACAAGGAACTTAGACATATTGATGAACATTTTTTTGTTTGTTTGGGCAAGCTTATGAATATAATAGGTTACAGGGTATTATTTTGTTGAAAATATTGCAACTTGGTAGCTAGCTAGGGTTGTGTTTGGGATATTGGCAATGAATTTAGTGGGTATATAAGTAGTAGGAAAAGGGCAATGAATGGCATTAAATGCAGGTTTTGTAGGGAGATGAAGGTAGAACATGCAGGTGCTTGGATATGCTCATCCTTCACTACATTTTTGAAGATATTGACGGCCTCCCTATGTCTCCTCCTTCCTTTAAACTTCTCAATCACCATGGCCCCACTCGGATTTAGACACAGAGGCGGATTCAGAACTTAATATTTTACGTTTTAATTGTTAACTCGTTAATTTGAAATTATGAGTTCATATTTAATCAACAATAACATGTCCAGTGAGATTCCATGAGTAGAGTTTGGAGAGAGTGATCGAGTTGTATGCCGACCTAAGTTACTAGAGAGTAGAGAGAGTGGTTGCAATGTAACACCTTCTTGTTTGTGATTAATTAGTTACTCTACGTGATATTTTTATGATAAAATTGAATGACTTTTCATTACAAAAAGATTAATAGTTTACTCACTTTAATTAATTTCTAAGATATGAATCATGCAAAGCTGAATGATGATAAAAGTGTGCTAGCTAGTAACATATTGTGTATATTATTATAAAGTATGCTAATATTTTTACATAATTGAAAAGAATATTGTTTGAGCTAGTTGATCTACCGACAAAACTCTAGTCCTAGTTCAAATTTTAGAAGTCAAGGATATACAAAAAGCTTAACAAAAACACATGACAAAAACAAGGTAATGGACTCAAAAATCTTTCTTATGGATCTCATATGTTAGTAATGATCACTTACGTTTTTCATGCCCTGTCTTCATTTAATATATAGTTTGCATAATTACATAATTAATTTGATCATAACAGAATTCATATATACATATAATACATGCAATAAATAAGAATAAGAGAATTCTAGGACATGTCCCATGTGTTTGTGTAGGATTCCTACCACCCTTTCATATCTTTGTTTTAGATTTTCAGCATGGCTTGTTAAATGGCACTCCTTGCCTTTGTAATTTATTACTTTTGCTTTGCTAGTTTCTTTTTTCCTAAAATTAAATTGTACAATTTTTGTCATCTTGCTAACCTTGTCCTATCTAGAGCCTTTCTAAAAGGTTTTTCTGATGTGGGATTCATAAGGTGTAGTGTACAACCTTCTTCATTAAGGGGCTTGCTCTCTGTCATAGGCGTCACACACCCCTTGGGAGTCAGGGTCCTTGCTAAGGTTTTCTCTACTATAGTACTGAGCGAGAGTCATGCTCTGATACCATTTGTCATGTCTTGATCCAACTGTTAATCAGGAGCGGACCCAGTAAGTCAGACGCGGGTGCTCAAGCACCCATTGATTTCCGAAATTTTATATATATATATATATATAGAAAATATGATACGTATGTTATTATAATTTAAATGAACACCCATAGAACAAAAGCAGTTGTGGGTGAGTTGGTTTAAACCTCTATGTTTTTCCTCACTATTGTATTGAGGGAGAGTCATGCTCTGATATGATTGTAATGTTTTGGTTAAGCTATTGTTATTTTGTGTCGTCTAGGCCAACACAAATTTGTTTCTTGAGTTTTAATACAGAATGTGTCAGAACAGTTAATTATGAACCCTGTCTTTTAACCAACTTAGGCTGGTTGTACTTTGAAGTTTGTTCAGTTTCACACAAGCAGGGTGATTGAGGTACATGCTTCCACATCTAAGTTTCACACCAGGAACCTATGGACGTCAAAATACTGCATCATTTGCAAATATTTGAGCAACTACAACTTTTGTCACCCCGTTAACCTCGTCTTATTTATAACTCTTTTTAAGCTATTCTAAATTTTTTTTTTGCATTTACATGATAATATTTTATATATATATATATATATATATATATACACACACTAGCCAAAATTACAAATTAGGAAGAGCATTAGAGTTTTATGGTATAGTTTAATGATGTCTACACATTATTACAAATGATAATTTCTTTCAAAAAGTAATTCCTAAAATATTATACGTTGTTTGCAAACACCAAAAGAACTACAAATTATGTCATCTTGCTAACATTTGTCCTATTATCCCTTTCAAAGTTGGAAAAACTGGTTCACTGGCACATGTATTTGTTTTCTTGCTTCTAATAAAGTTGTTATTCAACACTTGGGAAATTATACATGAATACTCTTTGATCAAAATTGGATGGCCATTCTTCATTTAGCTCAATAATAATTAAGTTTGAACATAGAAAAGAATATGCAATGAAGTCAAAGGATGTCAGAATTTTGGTGAAAATATTTACAAGGATGTGAGATAAGCTAGTTTTTTTGTCTAGCATGAAAAAGGGAAAAAACACAAAAAGTAACGGCCTCTCTACTTTAACATGCATATATCTCATTTTTGTGCTGGTCTTTGACTTGGTCACGATGGTCGACGGAATCATAATTTTCATTAAGAAAATTTAGAATATAAAAAAGAAAATATAAAAACGAGTTGATCAAAGGGAGTTCAACATATACCGTATAAAGTATAAATATAGAAAATAGTCTTTTCGTCAGGGGGGGTTTAGATGATCAGATCCTTACATGGCTTCGCTCCTACATACATAGCTGAGGTATGCATGCCTTTTGTAATATCTGATAAAACTAAAACGATGATACAGAGAAAATTAGCCTGATCTTATATATTTATATATAAGGAATAGGGATGAGATGCACGTATGATAATTTACAGGTTTACGAAAATTCAATAATCTTAGAAACTCGTAAAACTTTTAAGATAAATAGTTCATGATCTGCATGGTAAAACCGACACAAAGAATAGTGAAAACAGAAGTACAGACTTAATGTATGCAAATTTTTATTCAAAACCTAGTAATTTGCCTTTTGTAGAATCCAAATTCTTCTAAAATCTAAATTCACCTCTAATGACATATGGCTATATTTTTAAGAGTAATTGCACTTTTAATTCTTCCATTATTAATAAATTCCTATTGTAGTCCTTATAATATTAAGCTAAGTAGTTTTATATGTATATATAACCTTTATAATTAGTTAAAGGTATGTGTTTTTTCTCCCTTTTTTATATATGAAAGATGTGATATAATACTTAAAATTATTTTTAGAACCACATATGCTATCCTCACATATAAAGTAACGATATGAATTCAATATCGATAATTGAATGACTCAAAATCTAGGTCACTGGTCAATTAATTAAAAGTTAAATATACTTAAATCAGAAATGGTGAGGACCAAAATCAAAATTGTAACTTACCTAACAGAACTTATCAGTCAAAGATAAGAGGAAATAAAAGATTATGAGTACCAACTTGTACATTGGTGGAAGTCCTTCACTCTTAACTAGATATTTATGTTTGAGCTTTAGGTATGGAGAAAATTCTATTAAAAGTGTCATTTTTGAATACGTGTGATTCGAATTTAATCGAAACTTTAATGTGAATTTCAAATAGCGAGCCAAAAATTTTAAAAAAAAAGTTATATGGGACCATAAAAGAGAATGGGAGTTTGGGACCTCAAAGGAGAAGAATTTATGATTATGGGGAGACAAAGCAGCATAGCCATACCGCCATTGTCACCCAACACACCATGACACTGGGTCCCAATCAATACGTGACACGTGGCATCTAGTCCCATGTGTCCTAGACATGTGAAAATATTTATAATCAATGGGATCACCTTCTCCTTTGTTTTATCGGATCGATGATATGAAGTTTATGAATTTAAAACTATGTACGTTGTATATAAAGAAATAAATTTTGTGGCGAATTATTCAAAGTCAAAAGTTAGGTTATCAGGAGAGGAGAATTATTTAAGTCCATATAAAGAGATCATTCATCTATTAATTACTGATGTGAGACTTTTTTATTCTTCAAAAAAGTGATACATAACTTGGGCAATGATAGATTTCATATGACAAATATAGGTATTGAAATGTGTGAGCACTTCATCTAATCTATCGTTTTGTTTATTCGATTATATGTATATTAACACGTCCTCTCACATGCAGCTAGATTCTTTTTCATGAGTTAAACACGTAAAAGTTCATTTTGATAATGGTTGGAACTCAGGAGACTCGAACCCACACTTTTGTCTACTCATGTAACATTAATTTCATCTAAAAGCATAAGTTTTTACAGTGATTATGTATTTTTATTTATGTAAAGCGCGCTTTAGATCGAAACTACTGAACTCGACTGATCATAGCGGAAAAGGTTCATCATGTCAATATGTCTTGCTCTCAGGCTCCTCCTCCTTTCTCCAACTGCTGACAATTTTAGTGGATCAAATGAAATCTCCATTGGAAAGACCTTTAATTTGATGTTTTGGCATATTGTTATTTGGGAAAACATTAGTATTAATTCTTGTATACCTTAACAAACCATCATGAATATGATGTGTAACTACAAATGTTTTTTCCTGTTTGTGCCAACTTATGTTGACATTTAGCCTTACTTGTTTTGCCTTAGAAATCTCATTATTAGTCCTTTTTGTGTCTATATATGTATGTTTTGGGATGACAATCCTTTTGATGAATTAACCTTACTCCAAACCGATGTATGATTAAGTAGAAAGAAAATATGAACGTTAGAGAAAGTAGTGTACAATATTTGTGTTGTGCTTTCACAGATAAATATCTGTTTTTACAAGATTTTACCAATACGAAAGATGTTGACGTTATTTTTAAAAAAAATCTTTGTTTACAAACTAATCGTAGCCCATAGGCTCATTTTTCATTGCCAAATATATATTCTAGTTTTAATGGTGATCTAATAATCTTATACTTATTATTGATAGACAGAGTTACTTGATAAGTCAACATCTTCGACCAGTATGTCTGTAAAATTTCCCTAAGCTATTATGACACCATGTTTCTAGGCACAAGATTCCCCTCAGGATTTGTTTTCATCATTAACTAAATTTGAATAGTATGACCAACTAAATCCGAATTCACGCCGAAAATTAAGCACAAATAATGTTGAAACAGGAAAGCAATCAAGAATGAAATTAGGCACCTCAGTGTTGCCTTTTTTATAAAATAGCAAATGATTCGGACAGAGACGCCATCTTTAAGGAGGTCAAATCCGACTGATTATTAACATCGAAAGTCAGAAGATTGCAACACTTATGCTCTTGAACTATACATAAATACATGCTATACATAATTTTTACCGGTATAATCTTGAAGATTTTGGAAGCGGCGATGGAAGATATTAGCAGGACGGAGAAGTATCAATTCGATAAACAGGGGAAATATAAGAAGAAAATGAATGGATGTCAAAGCTACAGTTCGCTCAGGACCCCGAATGTGTTTTCTCCACTGTAGGTAACATAGAGGAAGCCGTCATCGTCCTTCTTCTCATCGTAGATTGCAGACATGATTGCCCCTGCGAAAACCAAACACAGTCGGCTCACTTCATAGGAAAAGAGAGAATTGCTCTCCAAATTGTTATGGCAGCTTCTAAAAATCAGATATTAGTAGTAAAGAAACACCTGTTGGCGGTAGCACATTGTCAATAAATATGAATATTGCCTTTTCTGCACTCAATTTGATTCTTTTGCGAATGACATAGACAAATTGCCCAACTGTCAAGTCAGCTGGCACAAGATACCTGTAATTTTACCAATCAGGAAAACATGAATCGAGTTTTTGCAATAATGATAGAAAGAAGGGTCATGCGTATTGTGGTGTCCCTCGTTGGCAGGAAAAAGCAGATG